CTATAGGGTGGCTTATCCCAATGGGGTCTCCAGTTGGTCGAGGTGCCCAGGTCTTGGGCACGTGGGTGGGGTCTCCTGGTCCTTAGTGCCCCCTCTCGGACTACAATGTCACCTCACGAGTGGAACGCTCATGCATCTCTCGTGGTGTCACTTGTGTGCAGATAGGAATGTCCAACTTGTGAGAGGATTTTAAAGAACGGTGAAGAAATGGATTAAAGCACCTACCTCACCACGATTAGGGTCGTTGGAAAAGATCGGGCAGAAACGCCCTCTTAGATCAATTGATCAAAGCCCTCCGGCTGTCTACCAGCGTGGTTTGGACATGGATCCCTTTCAAAATATTAATGCTTGATCTTGGTCTTTCATATAAACTGTTATGGGAATTCAAGTGAAAATTCTCCTCTTTTAATGGGTTTCTGTGAGTGAGTGGCTCTGCAATGATTTGGAAATGGGAGAGGAGAAATGTCCTCTAATAACTTGAAAACTATATGATGGGGTGGTTGAGACAGCGAGAATCAAAATTTTGATGAATACAAGCTTAGTACGACTACAACTCGAGTAAATGGGTTCCAAAGAAACAATATTTCTTACACCCTCAATTCACTGTGCAAGAAGATAGTTAGAGCAGCAACCTCAGAATTAAGCATCTAAAACACTACCTTATGAATCTCCCTAATCAAGTGTTTCAAGTCATGAGAAAGACAACCAATGAAGTAATGCGGTAAATGTGGATGGCTAGGCGGGGGTGAAGAAAGGGATGTGTGTGAGTGGAATGCGTGGGACGGAGTGTGAAAATGCCTGAGCGCAGGTAGCTGAATGTCGTATGATTAAGGGATGACTAGTGCTTCTTAGAGCATAGGTGGACGAGTGCGTGTTAGCACGTGGGTGGACGAGTGCACGTTAGCGCGTGGGTGAATAAGTGCACAGCTAAGCACTGGTCGACGAGTGCACATTAGAGCACGGGTCGACAAGTGCGCATTGGATCACAGGTGGACAAATGCGCATTAGAGCGCGGGTGGATAAGTGTGCGTTATAGCACGGGTGGATGAGTGCGTGCTAGAGCGCAGGTGGACAAGTGTGTGCTAGAGTGCGGGTGGATGAGTGCGCGTTAGAGCGCGGGTGGACGAGTGCGTGTTAGAGTTCAGGTGGATGAGTGCATGCTAGTGCCCGGGCAGAAGCAGAGATGGAATAAGGCCTGCCCTAGGTGTTGGTCAGTGACCCTAGGCAACAAAGAATGAGAGATGAGGGAATGTGAGAGGGAAAGGAGGAGAGAAGAGAGAGTGGACTTATGGTATGTGTGTGACTTAGTGCACCTCGATGAGCCCTCTCTGGGGCACGTGAGACATAAGGTTTGGGTTTAAGTGGAGTGTGGTGTATGGGACGTGGTGTACAAAATGGGTTGAGGTGGAGTAGGGAATGGGCTACGGTGTATGGTGGTCTGGGGTCATTTCTCTCTCTAGGAAAATCTTTCTCTCTCCTCTCTTGTTAGTGTTGAACTCACGAGCAAAAGCAAAGCAGTTAGGTACGGCACTCCAAGTGCTCAAATATTATCCGAATTCGTAGACTTAACCTTTCAATTTTTCCAACGTTTTCAACCTTGCTGACCTTTCCAACCCTGATTACAAGTGACATGGGTTTCCTTACATAAAGCAACCACTAAACAAAGGTGGAATGCTCAAAAGTACCCCAAATTATCAAAAAATACAGAATTAATGAATTAAAATAATCATCTCAAAATTGGACCAAATGACAAAACTACTCCCAAGCACTTTTCAACAAATGATAAAACCATCTCTCCATGAGGGGCCTCTTTCCATGGCTAGCCTTTGGGAGCTTTTCTGAACACCTATGATGGTAATTTGGGCGATCAATAATCATAGAATTGATGCTTGCATTCTTGTCAACATTTTGACACCCTTTAATTACCTTGAAACAAATTTTTAAGGAAGAACCCAAAATTGGGCCAAGTTCATAAACTCTGCAAATCTTTAACCATCAATGTAGCTTGGTTTGTAATGTTCCAAGTCTTCATTTTTCTTCACAAACTGCAGAGGACACTATCACAATCATTTTGCAGTAATTTTCGTTAGTTTTGGTCTGGAATTGAGCTTTTTCTAATTTCGGTAGTTTGTTGAAAAATGGGTTTCCAAAAATCAAAAAACTGTGCCTTTCCTCCACCTCAAAATTGGAATCATCTGGCTTCTAATTATGTATAAAAATTGTACCAAACTATAGCTCTTTGACAATGGACACAGGAGGTATTAGGAATGGCTTTTGAAACTACTTCCAGTGTCTCTCGGCTGTTTTGGCTTCGAGAGAGCAACAGATGACTCAACGAGAGCCTGGATGAACTCCTGGTTGATGGTGGCCCTCGGAACGAAACTCAGAGAGTCACTTCTGCAACTATGGTGTAAGGAAAGCTTGATGGGCCCCATAGTTGGTGCTAGACTATTTATACTCAAAAATGCTGGCAGAGAACTCAGTTTCCCGCCTTGGTTTCGGGTGAAAATGGGTTTTAATAGAGAAAGAGTCCCTTCAAATTACAACCCTACGAGAATCGAGCCACAAGGCTGTATCTCTCTCACGGAACGTCGAGAAAGCCGGCTTTCTGTAGACCTTAGCATTGGAGTTTCAAAGGAGCTTTGCAAATGGTTTAATGAAGAGGAAGGGATTTTAGAAGCTTTAATGGTGGGTATTATTGTGTGTGATAGAGAGAGATTTAAATAAAATAATTAATGTTCATTAATGGAGAACAAAAGAAAACAAGGATAACATGATTAGAAGTTAAGAGAAAGAGACAAGGGACCTTAGGCCGGTCTCCTAGGCCCGGCAACGAGAATCAGTGCTGATATAGAGCTAGTAGTTGCATGGTCGATCCCAATCCTCAGGGTTTTAATATGGCAACTGAATATAGGTGGAAGGGAGTCGAGACGGTCTAATTATCTAGGTCATCTTCAATATTAAATATAGTTGAATTTGAAATTAGAGTTTAGAAACTTGGGTGAAGGTTCAGGTTTGGTCTAGGTTTACTCGAGCCAAGCTTATGTGCTTAATACACAAAGATCACGTACTTAACCTAAGATAAAGTGTCTTATTTACAGCAAAATAAAGCTTAAGATAGCCATTGGAACATTTCTTGGGACAATCTTGACTATCCATTTTATCGTGCCATTCAAAATGCCTCCGTCGCCACTAGCAAGGGCGTTGGAGTCATCATTACTAAACATTAAATGCAACCTTCAAAATTAAATGCTTCCTTAATTTCTTTGTAATCCATTTAATTTCTTTCAAATCATAGTGGCTGGATTGGGTACAAATGTGTCAGGAATTGGGCACCATTCAGACATTCTCCATAAAAAAAAAATGCCATGCATCATGTTTTAAGGGGCTGGCCGTACAAGGGATCAGGATGTGTTGCTATTTGGAGCTCCTACGTAGCATTCTGAGTAGCGATGGTGTCAGACAGGTATTGGCACCTCGTATGTCTGGTGGCTGCATGGACGTTACCTCAACCAACCAAAAGTCAACACGCAAGTCTGTACTGACACCGGTAGTCACATCAATACGTTTTGACAAGTGTCAGTCCGTATTGAGAAGCATAATCACACAACTTTAAATCACTTCCGTTAGACTACTGCCATTTTGGGTGCTTTTGGTCCGGCAGAAGTCCAAGGGGGCATTGACACTACTATAAGTAGCACCGGACCCTTCTCTCTCAATGAATGCTACCCGAGGGAATGCCAGTAGTGTCAAGAATTCTCAACTGGCATGCTACCCGAGGGAATGAATGTACGGTCTACTATCGAGGAGTATAATACTTTTTGGTTGAAGGATATACCAACAATACTATGAACCATGATTACATGAGTTTTTATCCGAAGTATAATTACTATAATAGATTCCCTTGACAACTCACCTTGGAGAAATGCCGGACTTCCCTTGGCAACTTAGCATATAGAAATGATGGGATTCCCAAGAAAACATTACTAACAGCATTAAATGGAGGGAGGCACTTCTTTTGGTATAATATTTGTATCCCGAGTACTCTATCAAAAAAATATGGTCCCGAAACTAGATGTGAGCGTAGTTCCACTGACATAAAATATAATTTTTAATTTTAAATAATATTTATTATATGTTTTTAATATAAATTTCTATTTAAGAGATTTGAGCATACAACTTTAAAGCATAAATATGACATACAAATAGTTATACCAAAACAACTAGAAATAATGGTTGACATACATTATGTGAGAAAATTATAATTATTGAGCACCATTCTGGAAACCAAAAAGAAACAAAACGTATATTTTTTTATTATGTATTCATGTTTGGTTGTGGTTTGCATAAAGTTGCAACTTTAAACAATCAAATTAAGCCGCACCTCCAAATTCTATCATAAATATGATTCTGGGTAAAAATGACATAAAAGTCCAATTTCATATCTAATTATAAGATTTTCAACCCCGAAAGTGGTTCAAATAAAGTAGATCTATAAATACAAGAAGATCTTTAAAATAAATGGTCTAAATAATATGTTGCAAGGTATACTATTTTCAGGATCCGAATCCCATTTCGTTTTTTATATATATTCATACATCTCGATGTCAATAATCAATTAGAGGATTTTTCAACATCACATAGTATTTTGTGATGAGTTGTTCAGATGCACCTTATTTAAACAATTCAAGGTTGCAACCCAATATAAACTCTTTCCTTCATAATTTTAAATTTCATATTTGTGATTTTTGAATTCTATATAGTATTTTTTAAAAAAAAATTAATTTGGATCAATTTTAAAGCTGAAATATGAACACATGCGAGGATGGATATCAATTTAACACATCTTTTATTTCCATAGGTTAAAAAATTCTGGCGAATTGAGCCCATGTTGAAAATTGAATAGGCTGCCTTTCTAAAGAATGTTATAAATACAAAGCCAAGGAGTCCTTGGCCCCCTCAAACAACGACAACGACAACGACAACGACAGTGGAATCCATCACACGATCGACGGCTCGTGAGCCAGCATGTCAGGAGGGAGCAGCGCGGAGCCGCACCTGTCGCAGAAAAAGAGGTGCGCCACCTCCTCAGCGTCGGGGATGCCAAGGCACCGCGTGTACTGCCACACCTCGCACAGGTCGCACGCCACCATCCTCTCCCCATCGTCGTCCCTCGCACCACACTCGCACTCCACCCTCCACTCCTCGGCCCCACCTTCGTACCTCAGGCTCTCCGCCCCCCTCTCCGCCCCCTTTCCTCTAACCCACACCCCCATCCCCATCCCCATCCCCGACTGGGCCACGCGGAACAACAGTTCCATCTCACTGACCTCCAGGCCGTGAGGCCAGATCAGGTCCTGCGCTACAAATCCCTCCATGACGCAGTAGGTGTTGCGGAGTGTGCGCTCAGCCACTGCACGCAAGTCGCCCACTGATGCGTGGAGCGGGATCACCACGAGCTCCGGTGGCGTAGTCACATAAGAGAACATCCCTGCCTCCTCCTCAGACAGCACCATGCTCACCATGAACCACAGCTTCCCATCGTCGTCCCTTATCGGCCACACTTTGGCGAGGTGCTTCGTGTCTAGGACAACATGCCTCGCCGCCTCCACAACCATGCCACCCAACCCTCCTTTCAAAACCCTCTTGTACACGTACTCAAGGTCTCTCTCGACCTCACTTCTCCCCACCTGAATCTGGTTTTGACGGCGGTCTCCTGACTCACTTTTCCTGGTTATTGTGGCCGCCTCACCATCACAGTAGTCGAGCTCGGTGGATACCAACGACAACGAGTACTCTAAGACCTTCGTTTTGGGATTGACGGTACGCCGAATGAGGTGAGGGCCGACCGTGCAAATGTTGAGCGACTTGAGCATGAAGTCGAGGAGGCCGGTGTCCCCAATACTCTTCCGAGCACGGTCGCGTACCTCCTGGCGTGACAATCGCGAGCTGCCGCTCGCCTCCAAGACATTGGCCACGACACGTGCAGTGGCCTCAAACCGCTTGGGTGACCACCGGCACGGCGATGATGCGGCCAACTCCTCAATTCCCACTGCCACTTTATTATTGTCGAGTTTCTTTAGCATGCACTTTGAGGGCGTCACCAGTCATGACCCATTGATGGTTGGTGCCGCATTTGCCGTTTGCCAAGGGAGGCATGCGTTGAGCAGGAGCATGGCGTGCAAGAGCTCCCCCAGAGTGGATATTACCGAGTTGCATATCGTTTTGTATTCTCCAACGATGCAATGGAGGTGGGCGTCTTGGTGTTGGGGGCCAGGCATGGCAAGGGGAAGCTGCTTCAGGATCTTGACCGCCATCGAGTAGCGGAGCTCTGTTATGCCGAAGCTTCCATGGCAGAAGCTGTAGCCCCACTGCGAAAAACATGGATGGCCATAGGCCGCACTGTGAAGGAGATGCAGCTCCATAGAGTGCTTTCGCGCGGTGTCTTCAACTGTCACCTTCCTGTAAAAAAGAAAGAGATTAGTGCGTCCGTTGATGTTGCCCGGAAAATGATGAGATTCAGGCAAACTTTGATCGAAAAATGGTGTACCTGGTGCAAAGCATGGAACAAATGTGATCCAAGAGGTCCATAGTGTGGTGGCAAGAGAGGTGTTTGGAACCGTTTTCACGGCCATTAAGGGAGAGGAGGTGGCCGAAGCCGTTGCAGTGGATGAGGCCGTGGAGGAGGTGGGTACTGCTGTGTAGCACGTAGAGGGATTGGTCGGAGGCCGCGATTATGAAGTGGTAGCGACACTGTGAGACCAGGTGGTGGCTCCAACCAAGAGAGAAAGAGAGCGTCAACACCAGATGCCTATAACCGTATATATTTATCTTTTCGTTTTCATTTACCTGGGGCAATTTCTTTTTCTCTTACATGCCTATATTCGTATATATCTATTTCATTCATTTGATTAGATAATTTGTTTGTATTTAGTTCATTTACAATTAAAGAAAATTTATTAAAATTCTATAAAAGATGAATTATTCATCAGTTTACCCATTTGCACTAAAACAATCTATAAATCAAAAGACATCATTAAATTGTAAATTCTTCATAGGTATTTTGACAAATTTCACCATAATTTTAAAAAGAAAAAGACAAACCGCACACAATCAAACCCCAATACAGTGATAAAAAATGATACCCAAGTGATACAAGGAACAGTATCGATTTCTAGGATTCGTTGTCAGTCCGGCTGCGTCCACTGACGTTAATCGATGGTTCTCGCCATGATCCAATCCAGGATTTCAATAATTCTAACTAATTTTCCCTAATCTAAACAAAAAGAAAGAAATCAAGAACAATTCTGAGTAATTTTCACGTACCTACACAACGACAATGGTCACAGTGGGGCCATGGCGAATCGTGGACGTCCTCCTCGATGACATAGAGAAGGATCAGGGTTTCTTGAGATAGGGCCAAGTGTATTAGCCAAGTGGTCTTACCCTCGATTTGATTGGCCAAGGATTGGACCCAATGGGCAAGAACTCCCGCATGTTGTCTCGGAAGGCTCCTGAGAAGGTGGCAGGGCACCCTGGGTGTCCGAAGGAGTGGAATCTGTAGATGTTGTTGGGCTTGGGAGTGGGCATCGGCTCCGTGGGCGTAGGCATTGGCTTCTGGATCTTGTTGTAGTTGTGCTTGTCATACGTGGAACAAAGAGGAGAGAGGATGAAGATGGGTTCAGAGGTTGAGCGCTTGTGCGCCATGATGGCGATGATGGTGAGGGAGCCAAATCTTGGCTCGTCAGGGTTTCTTGGGGGAAAGAATGAAGGTTAGAAAGAGAGAGAGGTAGGTGATGTAGGTAAGAGAGAGAAAAAAGAAGAAAAGAGAGATTGTAATGCAGGTAGGAGAGAGAAAGAAGATGAAAAGAGAGATTGTAATGCAGGTAGGAGAGAGAAAGAAAAAATAGAGACAGAGAGCTACAAGATGTGTATGAGAGTTAAAGAAATGGCGGAGAAAGATTTTACAAGTTAGGGTTTGGAGAGATGAAGAAAGAGAAGGTTTTGTACAAATGAAGAGGGAGACGGACAAGAGAGAAAGAAGATGAAAAGAGAGAGAGAGTGACAATGCAGACTAGAGAGAGGGCAAAAGGAGGTGTAGAGAGAGAAATGATGGGATAAAACTTAAAGAAAGAAGGTAACATCAGAGGCAAGATTATAAAAGCTGAGAGCGAGATGTTTCAGACAAATGTAGAGAGAGGGAGAGAGGAGGCCCTTTCGTTAAAAAAAGGAGGGGGGTTTTCGATAGTTATGAGGTATGTGCATCGCCGTCAGGTTGTTGGAATATTCTACTCTCCGTACACTCTTCCGAATGCATTGCCAGTGGGCTCTGACGCCCTTCGCCGTGGCGAGACACATGTCGAAATATGATGACCCTTGAAACTACAAATCACGAATTTTTTTATTTGTTTTTAGTAAATTCAAATCTAAGATTTGGACACGGAAGTCATGATTCTGACAAAAAATATTGAAGCCACGAAAAATGCTCCTATTAGCACTCGGGAATTATCATTACCGGAGATGAGCCCCTTCACTTTCGTGATATTCAAGGAGTCGGATCGGGCCGTCCCCCTTTTTTTTTTTTTCCTTAGTTTTTGGCCCGGCTAGAGTTTGGCCCATTGCAACCCTTAAACGCAGTCCTTTGCCAATTAAACAAGGGCGTCCCCCTTATACTGTAGAAGTAAGACGTATATCTTAATTTTGTTTAGAGGTGCGGTGAAAATTTTTTGACATTAAAAATTTTGTTTCTATCTTAAATTATGAAGTTTAGAATTTCAAAAATGGTATAGATCTAATAGATTTATAAATACTATAAAATTTTGAAACTATGCAGTCTAGAAATTCCTTTGCCATCATAGCCATAATTGAATTGGTAGAGATAATCAATTTCAGCTAAGGGTTTTATGCACCAGAGTAAAATATTTTCTATTTACTGCCTTGGACAAAACCAGTCTAGGAGTATTTCATGCACCCCGAATTTTGGGGATGTAACCTCTATACTACAATCAGTAAAATGTTTTCCATATTTCACTTCATGTGCTGGAAAAAATTAATTGAAAAGGTTTCTAAACTTCCCCTATAGCATAAAAGAAACACCCTCCGATCCAACCGTTCAATTTATATCAAGTGAGCCACTCACCATTTGATCTATATCCAGCATCTCAAATATTTTATTTTTAATTTTTTTTCAACAACTTTTATGACTACGAAATTTGGTATGTATCATCTTCTCAATGGGACACGCCTACCAAAAATAATAATAAAAATTCAATAAAATATAATGACCAAAATATCCCTTGATGAATTTTGAGGTATTTTAATCATTTTATTTTATTGAAAATATTTCTTTTTATATTTTTTACAGGTACGATTTTAAGAGAGGTCTGGACAACCAAAATTTAGTATGAAAATATTTTTTAAAAAAAATTAAAAATAAAATGGTATAGACACATGACATTATGATTGGGGTCATCTCAATCGTCCATTTAGAATTGACGGTTTGATAAATGGAAGTACATAACTTTTATGCTATAGGAGAAACATAGAAAGCTTGCCCGAAAATAATACCTCAAGATTGAATGGAAACTCATCAAATTTTGGTGGTGGAGATCTAGGTATTAGAAAACTCAAAAATTCAAAAATTCAAAATTTCCCGTTTGAATATAATCATCTAGTGATCTTTAGGCTCTTCCCAAAATTTTGGAGCAAAAACATCTATCCAAATTAGCCTTCTGTCCAAGGAAGTTAGTATATAGGATTGCTGCCGCGGGAGCACAGTTTACCTTCTCGTTAATTTCAAGAGTTTATTGTGATGGAACAACCTCTCCCAAAATTTCTATGATCGGGCCTCTATAAACTTTTCCCTAGATTTTAATTAGACCGTATACTTATGAGTACTCTTGAGTCGTGTGTATTGAGGGCGAACTCCTCTTCAAAGTACATTACAAGTAGAATCACTCCCCTCTACCGAGCTCTTGCAATATGAAATAGCATGACATGGCATGTGAAGTTGATTCATAAATAAATTTGGGGGCCATTTAGGTACTTGAAAATTAAATTCCCAGAAATTTTATTTATTTATTTATTTATTTATTTATTTTTATTTTTTTTGAGAAGGTACATACCTTGTGTTTGGATCAAAATTTTGGGACAGAAAAGTATTTCTGCAAGTAATAATTTCCTTCATTCCAAGCTGAAAATCAAGAAATTTATATCACCGCCTTTACCCTTTGAAATTGATTTCCAATTAGATTTCCCTGCTACAAGATGCCCGCTTTGTAAAATACAATTAATTACACCAAAACACCACCACAAATTAGGGAGATAAATTATCTTATACTTTAAGTTTTCGAGAGAGAAAGTATCTTAAAATTTTAGAGATAGAAACTCATCTAATTTTAGAGAGAAACTATTTCAAATTTTAAGGTTTATAGAGAGAAACTATATCAAAAATTTTAGAGAGCAAAATTACCACAAATTTTAAATTCTAGAGAAAGAAAGTACCGGAAAATATTTAGAGAGAGATACTATCAAAAAACATTTAACGAGAGAAAACATCTCAAATTTTAAGTCTTAGATTGAGAAACTACCTCAACAATTTCAAAGAAAGAAACTTATCTCAAAATTTGTAGACAAAGAAACCATCTCAAATTTTCAGTTTTACAAATAAATTGTTGACTTTGTGGCTTTTCAAGGCCATAAAGCTGCGAGTCTTCCGCTTAGTGGGAGTAAGAGAGAGAATGAATCTTGGTACTTGGTACACTAGGGCCTAGATCCATATACCCTGAGTACATAAGGCAATGAGTATTTAAATTTTGAGAGTGTCATCTCTTGGGTAGGTATGAGGGTCACCTCCAAGTCCGGGCTATAGTGATTAGGTCATCTCAATCTTGTGATGGTTGGTGAAGGCTAGGAGAACCAATCAAGTACAATAGAACCTAAGTAAATTGAGAGTATTTGCCCTGTATGGAACTCTTTTTGACTTATGAGACAAAAATTTGTAGCCTGACACGAGATCTCTCCATGGTATGTGCACTTACAGTCGTAAGGGAAGCTACTCTTCTGTAGTGTAATCCGACATAGAAGAGCCAGGGTACATGTGGCTTCAGAGGACCCCTATACTAAAGTAATAGTATGTGCCACAGGGGTGCACCTGCAATCTATTGAGAAGTCAATGACGGGAAGTTTTTGCTCAGTGACTTTGAAGTGATCAATTACATGTCCTAGCCATAGACAACAGAATATAAGTCCATTGGGTTAGCTTTAGACACCGATGAAGCATCCTTCAGGACTAACCCAATGGAGTACCCCAATGACTAATGTTAAACCTAGATATCTCATTTACCTCCAATCTAGCTATTTCATTGTGATGATAAAAAGGTATTTTAATTATGGGAAGTAATTTAGAGAATATTCTAGAATTTTTTTAGAATTTTTCAAAAATTTTAAAACACAAAATAGCCGTTTTCAATTTTGTTTGCTGAAATTCCAAGCGAGGACATCCCCGAGAATCCCACGTGGCACCCTAGTGGCCTTAGGGTGGCCACGTGGAACCCCTGGGCCCTACTCGCCTAATGACATCACCATGATGCAATTAATGGTGCGTGGGGGCCTATTTGGAATAAGGTTGTCTGTTTTATTCTGTTATAGGGTGCGGTTTCTATAAGGTTGCAACCTCCAACAATCAAATTGAGGCATACCTCAAAATTTTATCATAACATGTAATTTTGTTGTAAAACAGTCTTAGGATTAACTTAAAATACATTTTCATATCTAATTAGAAAATTTTAAACTCAAAAAATACTAAAAATCAAGGAGATCTATAAACATATGAAAATCTTGAAAATGGACGGCTTAGATAATGTGTTGCAAGATGCACTATTTCTAAGACTCAAAAACGTTTTTTTTTTTATGTTCATACATCTCGATGTCGAGATGATTAAATAGAAGGTTTTTCAACATTAAAACAACTTTTTCGATAGATTTTTGAGGTGCATCTGTAATTCTACATTTTAAGGTTGCAACCTTATCTAAACTTTTCCCTAAATGTTTTATTATGGCGTTATATTTTGTTATGCCTTAAGTAATTCTTTTGTCTTGTCTTTTAGTTCTCACTTGTGACATACTTGGCATGTATGAAGCCAAGGCAATTTTCAAAGTTAATTTGATTTTAAATTTTTTTTCCACATGGTGATTTTAAATTAAGTTCTATTTCCTCACAAGAATGAACTTAATTTGGGGGTAATCGGGCATACTTGTTGAAGGCGGGCCCAAACAGGTTTTCCAAACACTGTTGAAGGAGCAGTCAGACTCTTGACATGCTGACATGATGTGTACCACATGTTGTTGCGGTGAGCCAATGACATCGATGACAAGCAATCTTCCTTTTCGATAACCCAGGGGAAAAGGGATTAGATCAATACATGGTGGATAAGGATTTTTATAGTGAATATTTTCGTATGGCTTTGAAGTTTGCAAGCCTTGGATACTTCTATTGACCATGCTTTGAATGTCTTCTTGGGTTACCGATGGGGAAATAGCTTGAGAAGCTATGTTGTTTTAATCATCCTGGAAGACAGGGGGGTATAGAGGTCTTGGAGTTTGGGCCATAGGAGGAGGTGAAGGCTTCCATTGTTCTTCTTCGAATTAGAGGAGAATTGGCCACTTGGTGGGAAGATACCCCGATAGGTCGAGCATTTTCGAACCCT